GAAGGAGGCGGAAGAGAGAGAGAGAAAAAGAAGCAAGAAAAGTGAAGGTGCGTTGAACAAAAGAAAGAGGAAAGAAAAAAGGAGAGGAGGGGAAAAGAGGAGGAGTGGAGGGGAGAGGGGAGGGAACAGGGAAAAGTGCGGAGGGGGGGGAGAAAGGAGGAGGGGGAAAGAAAGAGAGAAGAGAGGCGGAGAGAGGAAGGGAGGAAGAAAGAAAGATAAAAGAGAAAAGAGGAAAAGAGAAAGAGCTGAGGAAAGAGAGAAAAAAAGAAAGCAAGCAAGAAAGAAAAGAGAAAGAGCGAGAGAGAGAGGGGAGGAGCGTGAGAAAATAACCACTGCTAAAATTCTTGCGGTAAAGTGCGCCCGTATTCACATGTGTCTTTTATCAGAATGAGTCATCGTGTTTATTGCTGTTTCGTGTTCGTCTAAATATTTATTTGCGTATGGGTAAAACGCACATTTTAGGGCGTTGCGATTAGGCGTGTACTTGTCTTTTTTCTGTTCTGTGTGTATGGCTGCGCGGTACTTATGCGTGTTGTGTGTTTGTTTAATCTTGAGCTGGTGTTGCATTGGTGTGTATTTTGTCTGTTGTGTGCGTTGTTTGTGTGCTGTTGTTGCTTATCTGTTTGTGTTGTGTGTGAGAGTGTCTGTGATTGGAGTGCGTATTTGTGCGTGTGTGATATGTTGACTGGTGTGTGTTTATTTCTTGTGTGTTTTATTTGTTGTATGGTTGTGTTGATCTGTGTGTTTATTTCTTTGTGTTGTGTAGTTTTTGTGTTGTGTTTATTTGTGTTGTGTGTGTTGTGTGTGTTCCTGTGTATGTCGTTTATTTCTTTTCCAATGTGACCGACACTGTGTTAAACCTATCTTAACCCTTTTGTTTATTTGTTTGTATGCGTGACTGCCGCATCCTCGCTTGTGTTGTTTATTTGTTTGGGGCGGGAGGCGGGGGAAGGATGATGTTAATTTGTTTGCCTGATCCTCGTGGTCTGCCCTGTGTTCGCATACACCACAAGTTCTATAATTGTTTGTGTGTATTTAATGGTGTCATTCTGTTGTAGTGTGAATTTCTGTGTGATGTGTGCGTGTGTGTATCAAGTAGTGTATCGCCCGTTAGTCCGGGAACACCTCCATCGCCGCAGTCCTGGCACCGACTCCCGCGTGATGTCGTTTGTGTAGGTGTAAGCTACACCGCGTCGATACCGTGCTTTTGTAGCAACCGTGCATTAAAAAAAAACATCTGCTTTCCGCCGAGTTCTTTGTCTGTCCATCATTTCATCAGACAACTCTTTCCATTCATCTCCCTCTCTCCCTTCTCCTCCCCTCCCTCCCACCCCCCCTTTCTTTTTTCCCCCACTCCCCCTGTTTCCTTTGCGTAGCGTTAAGCGTTCTTTTATTCTTTTTTTTATTCCTTCTTCTTTCATTTTCTCTTTCGTCCTTCAACCCTCTTACCCCCCCTTCCCCACACCCTCCCACCACCCTCCGCCCCCGGCTTCCTATGGCCTTCCGCTCTCTCCTCACCCTCTTCTCTATTCTCCCCCCCCTCCCTCTCCCTTTTCCTCTCTCTCCTCTCCCTCCTCCCCTTCTCTTCATCTCCTCCTCCTCTATTCCTCCTCCCCCTTCCTCTTCATCCTCCTCCCCCCTCCTCTTCTCCCTCCTCTCCCTCCTTCCTCCTCCCCCTCCCCTCTTCATTCTCCCCCTCCTCCCCTTCCTCCCCCTCCCCCCCTCTCCCCCTCCTCCCTCCCCCCCCCTCCTCCTCTCCCTCCTCCCCCTCCTGACCCTACTCTTTTCCCTTCCTCTCCTGTCATCCCTCTCCTCCCCCCTCTCCTCCTCCAATCCCCCTTCCTCCCTTCTTTTTCTCCCACCTCCCCTTCCTCTTCCTCCTCCCCTGATCCTTCTTCCCTCTCTCCTACTGTTCCTCTCCTTTCTCCCCTCCTCTCCCTCCATCCCCCCTCCCCCCCCTCCCTCCTTATTCCCCTCTCCCCTACCCCCCTACCTCTCCCTCTCGCCTCCTCTCCCTCCTCACCTCTCATCTCTTCCTCTCCTCCCTATTTCCTCCCCCTCCTCCCCCAACCCTCTCCTCCCCCTCCCTCTCCCCTCCGCCCCTCCTCCCCTCTCCTCCCTCCTCCTTCCTCTCTCCTCTCCTACCCTCCTCCCCCACCTCCCTCCTCGCCCCCACTCCCCTCCCTCTACCTCTCCCTCTTCCCCCCTCCTCCCTCTCCCTCCCCTCCTTTCCCCTACTACCCCTCCTCCCCCTCCTCCCCTCCCCCTCTCCCCTCCTCCCCCTCCACCTCCCTCTCCTCCCCCTCCCTCCCCTTTCCTCCCCGTCCTCCCCCTCCTCCCCCTTCCTCTCCCTCCTCCCCCTCCCTCCCCCTCCCCCTCCTCTGTGTGCGCATCAGGCCAGTGTTTTGTTATCGCCTTGTACATCTAAGATGGCGGGGGTGTGACTGCCCGTCTACTTGATGTTATCTTCACCGGTCATCAGTTCCTGTGTGTGTACGAGTGCGTGTGCGTGTGTGTACGCGTATGTGTGTGTGAAAAAGGAAATGTGTTGTTGGTGTGTAAAAGTAATTGTCTTTTTTTTTATTATTACTCGTGAATATCATCTTCCAAGAACTCGATTCATATAAAAAAAAGAAGTTTTAGCTCGCTATTAATTTCTAAATCATTACTATTATTATTTCTATTTACAACTTAACGAACGGGAGAGACGGGCAGAATCTACGGGACTTGAACATAAACATTAAAATCGAGTTTATATCAACTTAATATCCTTTTGTGTGATGTGGGACTTATGTTTTTATTTTTCCATGTATAATAAGAGTAATTAGAGAATGCTGTACTTTGTCGAATATATGTAAAGCTCTATATATGTCAAATTCAGAATGTAATGGATAGTTCTCTCTTTTTTCAGGGATGATGATGATAAAGGTATGTTTTTAACGATCATTATTATCTTTATGTTGTTTTGATTCTTATTATCATTAATGAATTATTGTTATTATCATCTTCATCGTCATTATTATTATTATCATTATTGTCATTATTATTGTTATCATTATTATCATTATTGTTCTTATTATTATCAGTATCACTATCATCCGTATTATTATTATTATTATTATTATTATGATGATGATGATGATGATTATCATTATTATCATTATTCGTACTGTTTGCTGCCATTTCTATCATTATTATTATTTTCATTAACAAATTCGTCATTATTACCATAACTAAATTTTTGTAATCAGTTTTCCCTCAATAGTTTTACTATTATTTCTTTTATCATAATTGTTATTGTCTCTATTATCATTATTATTATCATCATATTACTGCTATCATTATTATTGATATTATAATCATTATCATTATTATTATCATTATCATTATTATCATTTTGACTATTATTATTATTATATTATCATCAATGTTATTGTTATTATTATTTTCATTATCATCACTATCATCATCATCATTTTCATTATCATTTTATTGTTTTGCTGCTATTCATATTCTTATTATCATTATCATTATCATCATCATTATTACTATTATCATTTGTATTATCACCCTTTTTTATATAATCATTATCATTATTATTATCATTATTATTGTTACTATATTATCATTTCTGTTATCATCATTGTTATTGTAATTATCATTGCTATTGCTATCAATATCATTAGTATTGGTATTGCCTGTATATTGGTATTTATATATACATATACATACATACATACATACATATATATATATATATATATATATATATATATATATATATATATATATATATATATATATATGAATGCATATGTATATATATACATACATACATGTATATATATATATATATATATAATATATATATATATATATATATATATATATATATATATATTATATATCATATCTATCTACCTATCTGTCTATCTATCTATCTATCTATCTATCTATCTATCTATCTATATATCTATCTATCTATCTATCTATATGTATATATATATATATATATATATATATATATGTATATATATAT